TAACAATCAAATAAGAGCTACTGTGGCACAGTGGTAGGACACTAGCCTTCTTGGTCAGTCTTAGGCTCAAATCCAAACAGGGCAGATTTATAGTGCGGGAAAGGGGGAGGGCGGATGAGCTTGGCTCGCAGGGTGACTTAACCTAAAATTGGTATTGCGAAATGTCCAGGAAAATAAAGGCAGGTGGCATAATAGTAACCGCACCATCCATTGAGTGGTCTATCACCCGTGTGGGTTCTAGGTCCCTGCTGTGGATAAAAATGAGAACAGACCCACTGTGTATCCAAAAGCATATAAAAGTCAACTAACTGACAGCTTCCTTTAAAGTCAGATACATCTGTCTGAGAGGCAAGGAACCAACAGTCTGCCTACAAATGAGTCAGATCTGTAAAACGGATGTACACACAACACTCAGGTTCTGGAACAGGACTAGAGCCCAGAAGTGGATGAATAACCAGAACTTTCCGCCAGAGGTTACAGCCAGTTAAGGCAAGGAACCAACAGTCTGCCTACAAATGAGTCAGATCTGTAAAACGGATGTACACACAACACTCAGGTTCTGGAACAGGACTAGAGCCCAGAAGTGGATGAATAACCAGAACTTTCCGCCAGAGGTTACAGCCAGTTAATGCAAAGAAGACATCCAATGTTCAAATGACATTAAAAGAGTCCTTCCCTCACTGGTCTAGACAACCATCTCAGAACCCACTATCTTGCTGACAGATTACACTAAGGTCCTCTCAATTCTCAATGCTCTCAAGAAAGCAGGACAAGAAAGATGATTCAGGAGACGATGTTGAATAGGCAACACTCAAAAGACTACAAGAACTTCAGGTAAAAAGAAGTGTTGCCAAACATGAACACAGGTAGCCAAAGAAGAATAGTAAACCCATACAGATCTGATGTTGTCGCCATGCGCTGAGGGATATACTGAAGATGAGATCTGAGCACTTATGGACTTGTCGGATGTGCAATAATCTGTCGATTAATTAACTAACTAAGAACGGTCTTCTACTGCAACAGTCATAACAATATATACAATAGGAAAATACATAAGTAAAGGGAAAGGCACTACAGTTTTCACCAAGATTTAGGCAATGAGTTTTGTTAACAATCAATTGTTATTTCATAAGCAGACATAATAGGCTTACATAGAACATATTAAAACTTGTTATTTCATAAGCAGACATAACAGGGTTACAGAAAACATATTAAAACTTGTTATTTCATAAGCAGACATAACAGGGTTACAGAAAACATATTAAAACTTGTTATTTCATAAGCAGACATAACAGGGTTACAGAGAACATATTGAAACTTGAAATTTTCACTAGCGCAGACATTTTTTTAAAATACAATTATCAGTACATATCCCATAGCAGAACAAAAAAAGTATTTTAAAACAATTGTAATGTACATATCCCACAGTAGAATGAGAAAAGTTTTTTAAAACAGCAATAACGTACATATACCACAGTAGAACGAGAAAAGTATTTTAAAACAATTGTAACATACAAATACCATAGTAGAATGAGAAAAGTATTTTAAAACAATTCTAACATATATATCCTACAGTAGAATGAGAAAGGTATTTTAAAACAGTATAAATGATGACAAAAATGCTGACAAGTTAGGACAGTCTCTATTTTTCCCTCTTTACCGATGTCTATAGTGACAATAAACACACAGCTAAAGTTGGAGTGCTGTAAATAAAGCACAATATAAGAAGGTTGTGGCAAACAAGTGCATTCAATGATTGGATGAATGAATCAATCAATGAAAGAACAGCAATGCTAGCAAGTGATACAGTAGAGAAAGTGCTGATAAATATAATATTCTAAACAAAATATTAAATTGTAAAATATTCCAATAATTAATTTCAGCAGTAAATTACACTTGTCACAAAACATTATACATTTATAAAAGATAAAAACAAATTTATGGTATACTGGAAGTTTGTTGGCACTTAAATCCTTATTAAACTGTAAAATAAAGATAAATGATTTAGTGATAACAATTACAAAGTATACTGAAGTAAAGTCTGTGGTTCGTTGCTGCAAATGTAGACTCGAAACAGTCAATTTAAAATTCATATATTCAATGACAAAAAGTTTCCAGTGCGGTTTCTCAGGCCCTATTTTACTGGGGAATAAAAGAACAGGCAAAATGGTCCTTAACAAGTATGTCATAAAAGACGACTAATTATGGACTTGTCAAATTCAGATATACTGGGCTCAAGAGTACAGACATCACATCCTAGCTGCAAGCCACAACACAACATGGTAAATGCTGTATTAAAGGTGAACACACAAGAAGAAGAATGACAACATTCAGATTTGTGAAACACATCTTACATCACTTTCACATTTCATTTTATCAACTGTTTTCTGTGGCTGGAAGTCATTAATTCTAACCCTTTCAGTCTCAAGCAACATAAAAATCTACTAAAATATTAAGCAGAACTAATCAGGTTCCCAAACACACAATCACAAGCAACACAAGAATGTACTAAAATAATAAGTAGAACTAATCAAGTTCCCAAACATACAATCTAATAGAAACCATATGAGATGGAAAATATTAGGGCAAGTGAGCAATAGGTAGACAGCGAAAGGATTGGGAAGATAAAATAAGAGATGTACAAACAGCATTCTCAGAGAGTGTATAACCTGGATGAGAAACAGCGAGGGTTGGAGTTTTACTGTAGCTAACCTTCATTATGGAGATGGCACCTGATTGATTAACCAATTGATTATGGATATAACTTCAATTCAGAATCAACAGTACCTAATGTGATATAAAAACCACATACACAAGAAAGGACACTGATAGGCAACAGGCAGAAGAGTAACACGTGAGGCACTTCTTCACTGTCCATTTGGAGAAGCAATGAGCAACTATAAAAGATGGGTGGAAGGAGTAAAAGAGACACTGCATACATTTGGAAAAGCAATAAGCAACTATAAACAGATGGGTGGAAGGAGTAAAAGAGACACTGCATACATTTGGAGAAGCAATGAGCAACTATAAAAGATGGGTGGAAGGAGTAAAAGAGACACTGCATACATTTGGAAAAGCAATGAGCAACTATAAACAGATGGGTGGAAGGAGTAAAAGAGACACTGCATACATTTGGAAAAGCAATGAGCAACTATAAACAGATGGGTGGAAGGAGTAAAAGAGACACTGCATACATTTGGAAAAGCAATGAGCAACTATAAACAGATGGGTGGAATGAGTAAAAGAGACACTGCATACATTTGGAAAAGCAATGAGCAACTATAAAAGATGGGTGGAAGGAGTAAAAGAGACACTGCAGAAATGTAATATGACTTTAACACAAGCTATGCAAACTAGCCAAAGACAGAAAACTACCTCTAAAATCTCTCTGTCATGATTCATGGCAGGAATATTAAACTAAGTTTACTCAAGGGCCAACAATTTGAAAAAAAAAACAGATTGTCATGGGATAAAGACGCCACCCTCAGCATAGAAAGATCATTAATACAGTACAACAGGCAACGATCCGCAGCCAGATTAGGCCCACGGGCTGCCAGCTGAACAGCCCTGCTTTACAACATTAGAAGAAGGACAAAAGAAGAAAGAAGAAAACAAAAATGAGCAACCAGCTATGTCGTCTTGATATCTAACAAGATATATTAACCAATCTTCTTCCTTTTTGATCACATTTTGCTACTCTAATCCACAATAGGAGTAAAAACGAAACCTAAAGACCCTTTCACGTTACTGGAGAATTCGATATATGGTACAAGATACATATTTTACAGACCAATTGTCAAAATCATACAAACTGCTTTTACTTCCCATGAGTTTTCCTGGTACCCAGTTTAGGTTGGGTCAACCTGGCAGCCAAAGTTAATTATTTCTTTTTAAAAAGTCAGCACTGATGTGGACTTGAACCCAAGACTTTGAGGCTATCAGATGAGCAACTCCCAAAATTCTAGTTTCTTGGTGAATATGGCCTTATTATATAAAATCACCATAAATAACAGAACAAAATTTCTAAGGAGGAATCACCACATAATACATGAGGAGAGCAACCCAATCATATTTAACCGCCATTCATAGGGAAGTACAGTCAGAAGTTTTAACAAACACAATGGAAGACCCACCAGCACTACAGGACCAACAGAGAGGACCCAGGCATGTTTAGAAGGGACAACATCACATACAGTCAGGGACAACATCACATACAGTCAGGGACAACATCACATACAGTCAGGGACAACATCACATACAGTCAGGGACAATATCGCATGCAGTCAGGGACATCATCACATACAGTCAGGGACAATATCACATGCAGTCAGGGACATCATCACATACAGTCAGGGACATTATCACATTCAGTCAGGGACATCACATGCAGTCAGGGACATCAACACATGCAGTCAGGGACATCATCACATGCAGTCAGGGACATCATCACATACAGTCAGGGACAACATCACATGCAGTCAGGGACAACATCACATGCAGTCAGGGACAACATCACATGCAGTCAGGGACACCATCACATGCAGTCAGGGACATCATCACATAGTCAGCGACAACATCGCATACAGTCACGGACAATAAGCCACAACTACTGGCACAATAAAATATTTAAGCCAATAAGCTTGGTTCAAACAACACCAGATCATAATTACAACTGAAGCTGTTTACATAAGGTTTGAACATGGTCACATTTTTATATTTTTCTGAAAGAACAAAAGAGCGATCAACATACATGAAGAAAAACAACACTGTTTACAAAAGCTTCAAATATAAAAAAATACAAATGAAATAAACAGTGAACACTCAATCAAATATATAAACGAAAGTACTGTCTTGGTAACATGTCAACATTCTTGGCAATAGCAAATGATAAATCACACCGTGAACAAAATATTAACTCTGCTAACAGAAATTGACAACTAAAACACTGAAGAACAAAATGATACACAGTGTGTAAAAATCATGCACAGAAAAGATATGAACTAGAAGCTCTCCTTGTTATAGTAAAACTTGGTTTTATCTGCAAAATTGGACAACCTATTGCAGAGTTTGTGCAGAGTCGTAGACAGGGGCTTTGGTCCGCAGAAAAACACTCCAGTTGACTGCCTGCAGTACAATAATAAAATCTGCATAAAATTTTCTCTCAAACATGCAACATAGTACATTTTAAAAACAATAAATTTTTTCAACTACACATATGATATACTTTTATTAACCTCTTTAGTGCAATTCTGATGTAAAATTAATACAGTTTTGTATCCTAGCTGTTAACATCAGCAAACAAGTTAAATTAAGAGTTTTGGAATATATCTGTTTCCTGTGGCAACCTGCCAATATCATGCACCATTTTAAGGCCACTAAAATAGAGTCATTCAAGTCACACTCGAAAACTGTGCTCATAAGCGCAATATAACACTACCATGCACTAATGTATTGGAAATTGAAAGGCATTGTATTTTTAATTTTATGCATGTGATAGTTGAGCAGTGTTCTGTTCACAGATAAAAAAAACTTTTTGGGAATTGTTTTAAACACAGGTTACTTGGACATTTTTTTTTAAACAAATATAAGAACTGAAGAAATTAATAAACATAAAGGAGAGGACAATATAGAGAAAATTTTTCTTTGGGCCTAAACAATTTCAATTGTGACTTATACCATGATTCCATTGCTGTGCAACCATTAGAGGCCAAAGGTGAATTATGATGTCACAACTAAGAAAGGCAATTTTTCCTCAAAATAGACCCCCCCCCCCCTCCCCTCCTTTTTTTTCCCCAAATGCATCTTTAGTAAATATAATTATCTCTGGACCTCCAAAACACTGTGCAGGTGCAAACAGAACTAATGCCATTAACCAGCTTTTCAGCAACTGGCGATTAAATCAATGACTGTTTAACATAATTCACAGGGATTTATAATAGACAACTATGCTGGATTAGTGGTTAAAAGAACAACAGTTGTATATTTCTGAAAGAAGAAGCATAGGCTCACCAGCAATAATATGGACAGAGAACTGAAAAATACTTTAGGCACATAAATACTTAACTTTTTTTTTTTTAAACATTTTTTTAGGTGATCAACAATGCTATGTATTACCATCACTTTTTACTTTTAGGTCTAATGTATTTCCAGATTAATGATTTTTTTTTTCAAATCAATTTTGTAGTGTTTTGTAAATAATGGCACTTTTTTTTTTTCTAAAAGAAAACAGAAGCCCTGAAAAATATGTGTATCTGGAGAAAATGCCGGGCACTGAGAGACTTCTTAGTGGACTATGATGGGAGCAACATTCTGTTTAGGACCAGTAAAACGAATTTAGGAATCAATAACTTTACTTAGTCTTCTGTGATGAAGATTCAACACTTACCCTTTGTGGGTTTCTGCTAACTGTTTGAATACAACTTCCCACTGAGGTCTCCCAAAGTAAGTTTTGTGATGTAATCCTGTGACCACATCATATTCTGATCCTTCATCGTGAAGTGTTATATTCCTGGCCTGGAAATAGGTGACCATTTAAATAAAATGTTAACTTCTGAAAGATTTAACAGTGAGAAAATAACTTAAAAGTAAGGTTCTACTGGTGTGTTGGAAAATTAACGTGCAGAAAGACTAGCTGGTTCTGCACCATCTGGTGGTGAAATGATGCATTCTTCCTCTTCTTGATAATGATGCATGATAAGCTAGAGACTGTAAGGGTCTGTTGGGGGCGAGTGAACAGTGCAGAGGTACAAGCAGATCATCATGGTCAGAGGAGAATGGTGCTGGAGGAGTGACCATTGGATCTAGCCGATGCTGAACATTCAGGGGTATGGCGTGACGGATGTACAATCAGACTGTTACTGGTGCCATCGGAATGAGAACTCTGCCCTTGATGCTGAAGATGAGATGGAGTGATTATGAGAATGTCGAGTGCTGTGAGAATGATTCTTGAACAACTGTGATGCTGAACTGACATAACTGCACCATATGGCACAGTCTCTCTCTCTCTGCACATAGGCTGGTCGCCTGTCAAGAGTGTCACACAAAGCACTAATTCCTCAGCTTCAGTGACGATCCTCTGGGATTTTGCAGTCATGGACCAAACAGTGCTGACTGAAAATGAACCCTCAATCTTTGGACAGTAAGGTCAAATGGCTTGACCATTCTGCCAAGAAGACCTCACATCTTGTCCACTTTGCCAAGGAGATCCCATTTTTGACCACTAACACAGTTAGCCTCATGTCTTGACCAGTGACAAAGACGGACCCCATGTCTTGACCACTAACATAGAGAGACCCCATATCTTGACCACTATAACACAGAGAGACCCCATGTCTTGAACACCAGCACAGAGACCCCATGTTTGAACACCACTAACACAGAGAGACCCCCATGTCTTGACTACTAACACAGAGACCCCATGTCTTCATCAGCACATCAGAGACCCCATGTCTTCACCAGCACATCAGAGATCCCATACTGTTAACACATCAAAACACAGAGACCCCATGTCACAAAACAGAGACCCAACCAGCACATTCCCATACTGTTAACCACAAATCACAAAAACAAACAATAAATAAAAAAAAGGTTACAGACACAATGAGCAAATTTGTCTGCTAACAACTAGGGAGCTTCTGAGGGACATCTCCCAAAAGTCTGACAAACATATTTTTAATTATTTCAACTGAATGGGCCTGATCAGAGAGGCAATAATGTTTAACATGTCGTTGCCAACAAGTCCCTAAAATAAAAAGTAAGTACATATACAGACACACATGTGTATACACAGATGCATGTGAGCATGCATGCATGGATCCACTCACATATAATGTTGCAGATTTGTACATCTTTGCGTTTGCACTGACAAGTAATAGTTTGTGTTATTCGTTATCACCACAGGACCTAATGGCTTTGTGAGGTAAAGTATATAAAGTGCTTGCTGTTTCTCCATAGATTCTCAACATACCTTTCCATTTTCTATGTGTACCACTAAACCACCCTTTTTACACCAATGATGTACCATGCTCATGATGTTAGACTCATATTTATACAGACCAATCAGCACTCAGTTTGGGATGTGGAAAACATCATGTTGGTCTCCTTTACTTCCCATGACATTAATTCCTGACAATTTTAGGCTGGATCATCCTGGGAGCAAAGGTCAGTATTGAAAAAGATCTGCCGAATAAAATACAACCGTATCCTGTTGTCAGTATTCTCTCTTCTTCTGCTGTCTATCCCTCAGTGGAGCACAGGCACTAACACTATCTGCGCCAAGTCATTCCATCCTTCACTATCACACACTGCTCAACCCATTTCCTTCCACCCATCTTTTAAATTTCACCCTATAGTTCTTTTCTCCAAATGTTTTTTGGTCTGGCTTTATTTCTATGGCCCTGTGGGTTCTAGTGCAAAAACATTCTAGTTATACTGTTCTAATTTTTCTCAACTGTGTCCTACTCTGGTGCCCTAATATAACTGAGTTACACAGTCCTATCGAACAGCAGTGTTTTTTTTTTCTTCACCCTACGATTCCATGGAATTTGTTTAGTTCTCTCCCGAAGCTCAACATTAGGGATTCTATCCTACCATTCAATTCCCTCTATTCTGCACAGGCACCAGTTAATGAATGTTTATTGGTTATTACTAACAGTTCTAACTGTTCTCCATATTTCCTCTCCATACAGATGTATGGATTTGACATTACAGTTACAAACTGTAAGCCATTATATATATATATAAATAGATATATGACTCAACACTCAGGGGAAAGGCGACACTGATATACAATTAGACAGTTACTGGTGGCATCGGAACTAGAACTTTTCGCTTGCTGCTGAAGATGGGGATGGAGCGCTTATGTAAGTGTCCAAAGTGCTGTGATGTCGATTCTTAATTAAAAAATTGTTTAAAAAACGCACGCACGCACACAAACATATATATATATATATATATATATATATATATATATATATATGATGTGGTGTCAGTTCTTTTACTTCGTTGTTGAATGAAGAATATATATATATATCAATAAAGCTGCACAACAACATGCTCTACACAAAAAGTATATCAACAGAATGAGGTGAAACAGTCAATATTTCTCTGCCTATTCTATTGGCATATCCGAAAAAGCGGCAGTGACCAAGCCTACCTTGATACAAATATTAAACAAGATACTGGCATATCTGAATAAATAGCAATGATGAATGGCTACCTGGTTTGCATTCCATCCCCTGGTCAAATATATGTGAAATTTTAAAAAGTCAACTGTGCCCCTTTGCCTCATCTGTCGCTCCAGGTCGAGAAGGAGACCTTGCAACCATTCAAAGGAGTGGGTATCAGGACACACCCAGTACAAATACACTCTCTGCAGTGGGACGGTTTCTTTTGGATGGCAGAATTTATACCTTCAACAAAACAAATGATCTCAGTTAGTTGTTGTTGATACATAAACAGTTAGTTGCTGCTGATATCATAAACAGTTAGTTGTTGTTGATACATAAACAGTTAGTTGCTGCTGATATCATAAACAGTTAGTTGTTGTTGATACATAAACAGTTAGTTGCTGCTGATATCATAAACAGTTAGTTGTTGTTGATACATAAACAGTTAGTTGTTGTTGATACATAAACAGTTAGTTGCTGCTGATATCATAAACAGTTAGTTGTTGTTGATACATAAACAGTTAGTTGCTGCTGATATCATAAACAGTTAGTTGTGTGTTGATACATAAACAGTTAGTTGTTGTTGTGATACATAAACAGTTAGTTGCTGCTGATATCATAAACAGTTAGTTGTTGTTGATACATAAACAGTTAGTTGCTGCTGATATCATAAACAGTTAGTTGTTGTTGATACATAAACAGTTAGTTGCTGCTGATATCATAAACAGTTAGTTGTTGTTGATACATAAACAGTTAGTTGTTGTTGATACATAAACAGTTAGTTGTTGTTGATACATAAACAGTTAGTTGTTGTTGATACATAAACAGTTAGTTGTTGTTGATACATAAACAGTTAGTTGCTGCTGATATCATAAACAGTTAGTTGTTGTTGATACATAAACAGTTAGTTGCTGCTGATATCATAAACAGTTAGTTGTTGTTGATACATAAACAGTTAGTTGCTGCTGATATCATAAACAGTTAGTTGTTGTTGATACATAAACAGTTAGTTGTTGTTGATACATAAACAGTTAGTTGTTGTTGATACATAAACAGTTAGTTGTTGTTGATACATAAACAGTTAGTTGTTGTTGATACATAAACAGTTAGTTGCTGCTGATATCATAAACAGTTAGTTGTTGTTGATACATAAACAGTTAGTTGCTGCTGATATCATAAACAGTTAGTTGTTGTTGATATCATAAACAGTTAGTTGTTGTTGATACATAAACAGTTAGTTGCTGCTGATATCATAAACAGTTAGTTGTTGTTGATACATAAACAGTTAGTTGCTGCTGATATCATAAACAGTTAGTTGTTGTTGATACATAAACAGTTAGTTGCTGCTGATATCATAAACAGTTAGTTGTTGTTGATACATAAACAGTTAGTTGTTGTTGATACATAAACAGTTAGTTGTTGTTGATACATAAACAGTTAGTTGCTGCTGATATCATAAACAGTTAGTTGTTGTTGATACATTCTTATTTATAGCAAGAAACATTTATGTTAAACAATGTACGCACACTTTGGCAAAAAGTATTTTAAAAATCTAATGCTAAATGCACACAGATATCAGTATTGTTTTGTGTCTTCAATTTTTTCCTGTTATGATTTTCAGTTTTGGATATTTTAGAAACCAAATGAAAGTAGAACATTATACACAACTACAAGAAGGAGAGTGATTGCTGGTCATGTAATGAAAACATAGAACTTGGAAGAACATTATGACAACTGAAAAGGTCAGCAACAGAAGAAGACAACAGAGAGAAATGTTGCTGGTCAGTCTAAAGACACAGAAGGAAAGAATAGCATCAACAAGACCAAGATCCATGCAGAATCATGAACACATATGCCATATAGAAAGGCACAGGATTGTTATGAATTTATTTGTCCTTACTTCCTCTTTTACCACTTCAGGTGTCGAGGGAGATATAAGGTTCTGCTCCTTGCTCTTCTGGCTGCCTTGATCAAAGACACGATGATGAGCTGATGTGGTTAAAGTAATTGTTTTCAGATCTATACGTGTTTCAGTAGCAGCTTGTTTATACTGAGTGTTCTTGTATAAACAACTTCTCCTTGGCCAAAACCATCCATACTTAACGAACACAAAACATATGTAAATAAAAATAGTAAATATAAAAAAGATAACCACACTGGTAATAACTACACTGGTAGGTTCAAAAAGTTCCTGAAACTTATGCCTAGAGCGCAGCAGGGTCTAATTATAAATATATAGATTGAGTTTGTGTGTTTTACATACAATTTTAAAAAACCCACCTGAATAAAAATAGTGGTGAAAAATATAAATTCCACTTATGACCGGTTGTTAGTTGGAACAAAACTCTAGAGTACACAAATCACTTAATGAAGTAAACAAACAGTGTAATGGATAACATTTTGTTGCAATAAAACACACTAATAATAATGCAATTTCTGAAACAGTCTTAGCAACACATGGAGAAGAAGACAACTCACAGAGAACTTTGTGAGTTATGTATGTTATGACAATCCACGTCACTGAACATTGGGCATTCCCATGTGTGCTCAGTCCTCGGGATGCAGCAGCCACTTCAAGTGCTTCTACTAACTTTTGAGAAGTTGGTTATAATATCTCCAATCTAGAAGCTGGCATAGAGTGTTCTTCACCATGCTTTACTCCCATTTCATGCAATAGTTTTAGTGTCAGAGATTCATCATTATCCACTAGCCCAGTCTGTACAGTGTTGATGATATATCCTCTGTCTTGTTCTTCTTTCCATATGCATTGGTGCATTGCTTGCCATTTCATCTGCTCACTCATTACCCTTTTATGCCAACATAACCAGGTGTGTAGATCAAGGTGAAGGAGGTTAAGTGCCATTTTCAAATGCTTTCTACCCATTCAGAGCGCATGCCACCTGTTGCTATCTTCTAGAGCATGTTCAGGGAGTCTGACATAATTACTGTTTGTGTGGCTGTCTTCTCTGCTGCCCATGCTAGTGCTCTATAAGCTGCAGCTATCTCCATGGTCATGCACCGGTTTCCTCTTTTATTGTTTTCCCCCATCCTTTGTGCTGTGTACATCCATGCTGACCTTGATCTGGCCTTCACAGATCCATCTGTGTAATGATGATGTCTTCTGGGTGTGAAGGCTGATCTATGTGCCCTCGTCTCTGTGTCTACGGCCACAAGAATTTAATCTTTGCAGTACTTCCTTAGTGTGATAACAACTTTAGAGATGCCACGCATGTCCACAGGTGTATTCATCCATTCTTTTTCGTGACTGACATCGTCTAGGTCACATACCTGCCGGAATAAATCTTCAGCCTTGGCCATACAGGAGCTACCTATTCTGAGACATATTCTTTTTGTGTCATGTATAGCTTTGTGTAGGGGGTGGTTAATGTCTGCCGTTTGGGTTACTTTATAACCGGAGTATTCAAATACAACGGTATTATACAGCTAAATAGCATTTCTTGGATTTGATCCTGTTTGATTCTTATCTGAATAGTATCTTTTTGAGTCACTTAAGAGTGCACCTATCAAAGTGCAATCCTAGGGGTAACATTTAAAAAAGAAAATGTTAAAAAACAATTTTTTTTAAAAACTAATAACAGAATATTACTCTTTTTTCCCCCAGCTCTGTCATGCACACAGAGAAAAGAGCACACACAGAACTTACCAGACTGATTTAAGCACAGATGCGAATGGAGTGATACCAATACCACAACCAATCAATACAGACACATCATAAGCAAAGACATCCTGAAAGTACAAGAATGCATTTAAACATTGTTTACACATTGTCTATCATCATCCTTATATTAGTCACATCCTTGTGCTGAAGTACAATGGATGCAGCTGTTCTTAATAGCATCTAGTTTGACACATTTGTCATCCAGCTACTGAATGAGTGCTTGGTGCAACACTGTAAGCTGTAGATTTCATGTGACAGTCATTGTTTCCCTATTGTGTCTGCTGCATGCTCTTGACTGCACTAAAATGGAGGGCGGCTGATTCAATTTTGAATGTTGTGTAGTTTTGTAGGTGCAGTGCCGGTTTTCATCCTGATCATCTGCACCAACAGTGAGCTACAATTCTTGTGTGGGAACATTAGTGCTGGCATATCCAATAGCTGCATTATGCATTTTTTTTTTACTTTGTATGTGAAAGCTTAAAGATTTTGCTGGGAATTACAAGTTGTTTCTTTTCACTTCTTTTCAAACTGGCACGGGAACGGAGCAGTGATGGGGCGACCCGTCTGCAGTAATGCTGTAACTCAACTAATGGCTAACGAGTCAGAACAAAGAAGACCCAAACAATAAATTGGCCAATGTACTGCTTGGGGTATTTGCTGTTTCTCATTGGGTGCAAACTCTAACTCAGGGGCTCTCAAACTGTACTCTATGAAGCTCAAGGGCTCTGCATGCACTTTTAGAGGGGCTCTGTGGTAGATCCAGAACAACACATTAAAACTGAATGAACTAAAGAAACAAAACAGTACAATTAGAATAAGAAAACTATAAATAACAGTCTGAATGTGCTGCTCTAGGCAACAATGTAAAATCTGTTGCAATTCAAATGATTTCTTTACTGAAATTTGGAAGAACTGTTTATCTATGACCAGTTTTTGACAATCTCATGTGTATTTGTGATAGCTGAGAACAAATTGACTATTATAGTAACTGTAAAGATTTGTAAAATATAATTTCACTGCATGGGCATCAACCAACTATCTGGTCTACTTTACATTCCCTCAACATCAACCTCCTCTTCCAAAGTTAAGTAATATTACTTCTTACCAACATGAACTTGTAAGACATAGGGTAAGTAAGGCAAAGGAGCTCTGCCATTGGAGTGGACTCTTTTATAAAAAAACACAAGTCAAAATAGTTGGGCATTAACAAAGAACTAAAAATGATGAAAATGTATCAAACTCAAAAGTAACTGTCTGCATTACCATAGCAACAGCAGGTTCATGACCTTGTCTAACTACCTGTTTATTCAGAGCAACTGCAGGTTCATAGCCATGTCTTTTTGTCTGCACAAATTCGGATAAAAGTGACTTATTGTTGTGGCTTCTTATTATTTGTGTCTGTTCAAATTTACACTAGAAAAACATTGATTTGTCTTTTTAGCTGTATCTTGTTCTGCCTTTCATCTCCCTATGGATCATAAGTCCCCAACCCACAAAAAAGCCCCTAGTAGATGTGAACATGATTGGTTAGATTTTGCAGCTGATCTCAGTGAGATACGGCAATCACCAGCCTTCTTTAGTTGCCACATAATATTCATGATAGACAACAGTTGTTTTTTTAAAGGAAAAAAGGTGCAAGTACTCACCGCAAAGTGTAAACAAGAAAAACAAAACAAAAAGTGAGTACCTACTTTATATATTTTCTTTAAAAAAGGCGCTGGTACTTACAATGTTTTTACAGCATAGTTGAAAATCATTATGCATCAAAAAGTGAGTACTGAGTGCCACCACAAAAACGCCCTGTGGCAGACTATAATATTGATATTATTTGCTTCTATTTTCAGTCCTGATATCAGTTCCCTTTTAATTTTCTTCACAGTTTGACATTTAGCATTCCCAATAGATGACTTTATGTTTCATTTGCAACCAGGCAAAGAAAATACACAATATAAAACAAAATTTTCACAAGCTATTTTGTTCTTATATCAAAATGAACTCTTTTCTGTTGAGCTCGCTCTCTGCAATATACAATAACATATTTAAAAATCATGCAAATTATTTTTTTCTTCTTCTAAGCGTTCACGGGCTGTAAACTCCGGCAGAAAGTTCTGGTACTACCACTAAACTTTTGATTTAGAACCTGAGTTTCGCATGTACATCAGTTTTCTTGATTTGGCTTATTTATGTACCTCCTGTTGGTTTCCTCGCCTCTCAGGCAATGGATTGCAAGACACACCCCTAGTTAGTCATCTTGTACAACATGCTTGTTAAGGGGACAGTGGGTTTATTCTGTTCATCAAAACAATCAGAGTCCATGTTTAAAAGTTTAAAAATAAATAGCTTATTACAAAATTAGATTCTTAAAAAAAAAAAGCATGATTTTTTTTATATATATTTCTTTACTACACACCAATTTAATTTTATTTCAAAATAAAACTGTGACAAAATATAAATTTATGGTCACTGCTAAATTTACCTCTGTAGCTGTTCCAAATGGTCCATCAACATATAGTCTGTAAAAAAAAAAAATAATAGTGACAATTTTCGATGATCGTCTCCCCCTTTGTAGAGTTACTTTTTCTTTGTAGTTAGTAGGCCAAGATAGGGAACCAGCTGCATGGACAACACATGGTTCCCACAATACTGCCTCAGCTCTGTGCTAAGCAGAAGAGGAACTGCATCTCTGGTCTTTCATTGGCGTTGCCATGGGCTGTGAGAGGCATGGATGCGAGGTAGCATCCTTTTAAGACTGCATAAAATTTGACAGAAAACAAAACTGGGTGGGTGTTCGTGGTGGTGGCAGACGATTAAGTCCTAATCGTTGAGAATAAGTTATTTACAACAACAGACCCACCGTATGACATGTATGTGCAAGATGCATGAGCTTAGTGTCAGGGCAAACTGGGATAAAAGGGAATGAATGTTTGTGTCAGGGCATATTGGGGTAGAAAGGAATGAATGTTTGTGTCAGGGCATACTGGAGTAAAATGGAATGAATGTTTGTGTCAGGGCATACTGGAGTAAAATGGAATGAATGTTTGTGTCAGGGCATATTGGGGTAGAAGGGAATAAATGTTTGTGTCAGGGCATACTGGGGTAGAAGGGAATAAATGTTTGTGTCAGGGCATACTGGGGTAGAAGGGAATAAATGTTTGTGTCAGGGCATACTAGGGTAAAAGGGAATAAATGTTTGTGTCAGGGCATACTGGGGTAGAAGGGAATAAATGTTTGTGTCAGGGCATACTGGAGTAAAATGGAATAAATATTTGTGTCAAGGCATACTGGAGTAAAAAGGAATGAATGTTTGTGTCAGGGCATACTGGAGTAAAAAGGAATGAATGTTTGTGTCAGGGCATACTGGAGTAAAAAGGAATGAATGTTTGTGTCAGGGCATACTGGAGCAAAAGGGAATGAATGTTTGTATCAAGGCACACTGGGATAAAAGACAATGAATGTTTGTGACAGGGCACACTGGAGCAAAAGGGAATGAATGTTTGTATCAAGGCACACTGGGATAAACGAGAATGAATGTTTGTATCAGGGCATACTGGGGTAAAAGGAAATGAATGTTCCTGTCAGGGTAAACTGGGGTAAAAGGGAAAGAACTTTTGTTTCAGGGCATACTGTGCTTAAAGAGAATGAATGAGCAGTCGACTTGCTGGCAGGTCAAAGCAGGTACAGAACAAGCAATGCACTGGGCTGATGTTCTCACTTCTCTCAAGGAGGCAGGAGGAGTGGATGATTCAGGAGAGGATGGTTTATCAAAAACATTGAAAAGACTACAAGAACTTCAGGCCAAAGAGGTATTTGCAGACATGAACACTATACAGGCAGCCAAAGAAGAATAGCAAACCAACATAAAGTTGGAGTTACAGTCACCACACGCTGAAGAATATACTGAAGATGGGATCTGAGTGCTAATGGACGAGTTGGATGTGCAATGAGGATCATCAGTCAATTAGCTAACTAAGTGATTCTGATGCTTTATTGTACCACGATGGAACACTCATCTGGAAAAACAGAAATATGCAAACAACTCCCCTCTTTCGTCTTATTATTGTGTGTGTTTATTTCTCTCTCTTGTAAACTTTAAGACAACTTGTTGAAAATATTTATATAAAAACATTTAATCTGAGCTTGTGGATATCTCCAAACAGTCTGTCATTAAAAGCACACTATGTTGATACGAATGATAAGCTGGTGAAATATAGAAAAATATAGAAAATATTATATGTCGACCACGAAGTGGTTAAAACCTCTTCATGCTCTGAATGTCATGGGTTCATTTTATGGACTTCATCGTTCAGTTCACAAGTTCAGTTTCACTGAGATTCACTGAGGATACAGAATTTGTGGTCTGTATGACATTCTTGGAAATAAACCCAGTGCAATGAATTTAATCCTCTTGATTCTAACCCTTAAACTGAGTGTTGTTACCACAGATCAGCTGGCGAACATACATTAAATATTATATCTGAACTATCCCTGTGTTGGTTCCAAGACCGGCATTTAGTGTGGGGGGGGGAGGAGGAAATAGACCCACTGCATTCCTGACAAGTATGTCATAGAGGTCAACTAAATAGAGAAACTTCCTTCAAAGTCAGAGGGCGTCTGTGTGAGAAGCAAGGAACCAAGAGTCTGCATACAAATAAGTCAGATCTGTAAAATAGATATGCATGCAAAACTCAAGTTCTGGAACAAGACCAAAGTGCACAAGTGGACAAACAATTAGAACCTTATCATAGATTTTACAGATAGTAAAAGCAACAATATCTCTAGAAAATGCTTTTGGACTGTGTTTCGTGACGTCATAGACGTCATACTCTGTTTGCAATAATGTTCTCAAGTCCGACAGTAGAGGCACAGAAAATCCACGCACTACAGGCACAAAAATCATTTTATTTAACATGCCATGATTGTCACCGACTCACAGAGCATGTTGAGAATGGTGGAGACAGGTATGCTCCGTGCAGAGTGGCAAGCACTGAGGTCCCGGGTAGTTAGTATCCGTTGGATATTCTCTCCTGGTTATGCCGGTGTGTTGGGAAATGAGCAGGCAGATAAGCTGGTCAGTTCTGCACCACTTGGTGGTGAACTGATGTATGACAAGCTAGACATTGTGAGGGCCCTCTGGGAGAGAGTGAACAGTGCAGAAGCGCAAATCCATCATTACAGTCTGAGGAGAATGGCACTGCGAGGAGTTACCAGGGAATCTGGTTGATGCTCAGCACTCAAGGAAAGGGCGAGACGAATATACAATTAGATAGTTACAAGTGCCATCGAAATTGGAACTCTTAATTTCTGCTGAAGATTGGGGTGGAGCGCTTATGTGGGTGTCCCGAGTGTTATGATATTGATTCTTAATTCAACAACATTCAACATTCAAATCATCTTATTCTATGACTCTGTTAACCTGCTAAAATATATTTGGAGAAACTGGATAAACCAAAAAGATGCACAGCAGATATTTTCATATCCTTCCACAACTTAGTTAGTTCTGAATGTAGCATCTACCTTTAACTGTGTCAGTCCTAGCAAAATATACAACTACTTGTTTTTCTCATTTGAAGGACCTGTGTCAGAATAAGTGTCTTAACATTGTGAAGTTAGCACCAACTTTGACATATAAAGTTTTTTACCCTCTCAGTGTAGAAAGGCCCTAGGTGTTGTTATTTTTACTGAGTACAACATTGCTGCTCTACAGTTTGTAATAAGTCAAGAAACAGCAGATTTTCATGCAGGTATACATGTCAAATCCACCAACTTGCTATAATATTGATTGTGCATACTTATAAGAGATGTACCTTCATGTGTGATTCATTCTGGATATACTATATCAAGATTTTTTGGAGCAGCCTTTGGGTAAGTGGAAACAAAATATTCATAATTAACTAACCTCTCACATAAAGTCACTTGCCTCTTTAATAATTATTAACTAACAGTATAATTATATGTTTTAGCAGTATTCTAATATTAATCCTCAACTATCTGCGTTCATTTTTCTGCATCTTCTTTTTCTTCTTCTTCGCATTCACTGGCTGCAAATTCTGGCCGAAAGTTCTAGTTGTTCAGACACTGGTTGCTGTGTGCACATATATTATACAGATCTGACTTATTTGTATGCAGATACAGGGAAACTCATTCCGACCTCCAAGGAAGTCACAGTGAGTCGTCTCTTATGACATGCTCACTGGGGAGGCAGCCAGTCTATTCTTGTTTTTCCCACAATGGGATCCTGGTATACATATGCAGAATTGTTGTGTATGATATGTGTATGTTTCACAGCATTTGCAGTTGTATGGTCAGTTTTAATGTGCTTTCCTTACCTTTAAAATAATATATTTATGATGAAGTGCTGCCCATTTTTTAAACTGTCTTAAGATACATTAACATATATGCTAACTTCTGTTCTTATGATGTTCTGTTTAATCCTCCCCTGTAGCTCTCTAGAGCTACCTACTCCCTTCATGGTTTCATTTGTCGTGTTGTGTGGAGGGATGGAGGGTGTCTTTAGAGTGTTCTTGCTATGTAGTAAACAGTGTTCACTAGCATGTATCTGACATACAGAACTTGTTTCCTCTGCTGTAATGAAATCAGCTACTCCAAGTTGCAGTCTTAGTATTTTATTATCGCAAGGGAACTTGTTATTTTTTTAATGACTGTGACTTGTTTTGTGTCTAAGGCACACAGGCATTATTGATGGATTTGTTTATAATATAAAATTTTAATGTATTTCATGTAAGACTCCTACAAATGGACAAAACATTAATAGCTGATGTTTGATCTGAAGGAAGCAGTTTATATGCATTGGTACATGCAGTATTCAGGATATTGTGTAATGTTTTTTTTTTTTAAACCACCACTGAAAAATTCACAATGATAATGAACTGATTTTATCCAACAAGATAAAATTGAACAAATTTGTTTTCGCTGTTTGCGCCATGAAGGTAAATATTTAGTAGTGCTACAGTATTGTTATGAAAACTGCTCTGAAGAAAAAATTATATATTATAACAGTATAATTACATGTAGTAGTCTACTAATAGTAATATTAATCCTCAATCATTTATATTCATTGTATGTGTATGTTAGACAGCAGGTGCAGTTGAATGATCTATTTTAAAATGCTGAATTTGTTAGAGTAGAAAAAATATATTAACGATGTTATGTTGATGCTACAGATAGGCTGGCCAAGACACAGTAAATTAACTCACTTTGGCATTTTCCACGTCTCTTGAAATTCTCCCTCGTCAACATGGCAGAGTTCAGCTACAGCATTAGTCCAATCTCCTTCTCGACGAATGTGTACAGAGAAGTAATCATCATTTGGTGCCTAATTAAAAGATGAGAACTTTGGAAAAACTAGCTTGTTGATGCAGTGGGGTGTCAAAGAGATGTCTTAGAAGAAAGATAAGTTAATGCACTGGGGTGTCAAAGAGGTATATAAGAAGGAAGACATATTGTTGACATATTGGAGTGTCAGAGAGAGAGAGAGAGAGAGAGAGAGAGAGAGAGAGAGAGAGAGAGAGAGAGAGAGAGAGAGAGAGAGAGAGAGAGAGAGAGAGAGTGAGAGAGAGAGAGGGAGGGAGAGAGAGAGAGAGGGAGAGAGAGAGGGACGGAGAGAGAGAGAGATAGGAAGGGAGCGAGAGAGTGGGGGAGAGAGAAGTATCACAGAAGAAAGACAATACATTGTGGTCAATATTATACACACTGTCTTTACTTCCCTAAACATTTCCTAGTAACAAATTTAGGCTAGGTGAGCCTAGCAGCAAAGGTCGACTTTTAAAATCTGCCTCGATGAGGATTCAAACCTATGACCAACAGGTTAGTAGGCACATAAATAAAAAAAAATTTTTAATTAATCATCATGAATGGAACATACCGAGGTCAGAGTAAATGGATGCCACTCCAGGTATGACACCTTGGGGCATTGGATGAGTATATACTGTCCTGGGGCAGCATGAAAGCCCTTCTTCTGCATCTGAAGTTCAAATACTCCAGAGGGATGACTAACAACCTGGAAAAAAAATTGGGGAAAAAAGAAATTAATCAGTGCAAGATTTACATTATGTCATCTAAAACTATATTAAGCTTCAAGGCAACTTCTGTCTGTCCTTATCCTCTTTCTGTCATTGTTGACACACAAGGCACTCACTAGTGATTATGTCTGTCACTCTAATGCTATTGTGCCCATGGATTTCATGCCATTTTCCATTCCTTCATTTCCCTTTCTCCTGTCCTTTCCCAGGTCTTCTTAGATCATCCATGTCTTCTTTTTCCATCTGCCATCCACTGGAGGGTTGGTTGTCCTTGCTCAAGTGTTACAAAGCATTCTGCAAACATGTCCATGATAATCTGTTAAAAGCATTTGACTATAATGTGATTCAAAAAAGTGATAACACACATTTCAGTCTTATTTCAGCGGATGTGTTTCCGATGTGTGATTTAGCGCTCCTCTAAAGATATGACCGGTCTAAAAAACTTACCCTGGCTTTAAATGTACATAAAATCTGCTCCAGAAACTATGACAAATCAGGAAAACCTGACAGCCAAGGGAGCAGAATAGTGAACAGTTTGCCCACTTGCTCTGGGTTTGAATCTGCCACATGTCAGAATATACTCCCCCCCCCCCCCCCACCACCACACACAACACAGAATATTTATAGCAAAAAAATTAAAAACAAAATACAGAATGCTGCAGTTTATAGCATGTAAAAGTGCAAAAAACAAAACAAAAACTTACTTTTAAAATAACAACTTTTTGCAAGCCACTGACAAGTCTTGCAATTCTTTCAATACAATAAATTATTGCAGGAACCAGCAGCCATATCCAACTCTGAGAAATGGAACAAAGCAAATCAATTAAGCACATCACCCATCTTGTGCCGTTTGGGCTACAAAAATATAGGTCTAGCCCTATATACAATATACGCCTAAAGGTTTGGAAAAGGGTCCTTTTATTTATTTTTTTTTTTTTTCAACAAGTATAAAGCTCCTGCAGCTACCATATAATGTCTACTTTTTCTTCTTCAGCATGCTAAGACCAGGAGGCTCACTGCTTCAGATGTCACCTGCCCTCCATTCACCTCTATAACTAGCCTTCTCTTTCCAGTTGGTGACTCCAAGTGTCTGTAGGTCTGCCTGAATATTATCTCCACCATTTTAATGGTCTCATTTGTGGTTTACTCCCATTAAACTCTTTTGTGTATGTAGTTTTTGTCTCTGTTATCATCAATTCTCTCTGTATATTCTAGTCATTGTAGTCTTTTAATCCTCATGATATCAGTAATTAGTAGCGATAACATTTTTTTTTTTAGAGATTTTGCTGATTTTCACTTTCCATTCTCCATTGTTTGCATCTTTGATGGGACCAAAGATTAGTTGTAAAACTTGTTACAGAAAACAAATGTAAAACTGTTCTCTTCATTAACAAATTGATTCAAAAACTAATCAAATTAAATATGTTTGCATTTTTCAACAACAGATTTGTCTATAACTTCTGATGTAATATTTTTTTTTTTTAATTTTTAGAGATAATCCATTAAAAATGATATATAATTTTATTAAAGTTCAATTCAACTACTGTCTGTTTAACAAAGAATGAGATACATTTATATTTATATTACTGCCAGCAAAAGCTGTCCATGCATGTTTTAGATATAGCTTAATAGAAAGTGTAAGGATGGAAGTTCCTGTTACATGTTTCTTTCATTGCCCACTACTATCAATAAACTGAAGGACAACATAGGAAGGGAGATAGTGGCCATTCAAGCTGAAATCCTGCACAAAAGTATGCTGTACATAGTGCTGTTAGTTAGTTAGTTGTGTATTCTTTACAGGATGTTGCAGAACCAATCCCAACAGCCCCTAGCTGTTTCCTGGTTTTTCTAGGCAAATTTATGTCCAGTAGTTTGCCATTGCTTTCTAGACGGTTGGCTTTATTGATACCACTGTCGGCATTACGAAGCGTTCACATCGATTCAGCCACAGAGCCGACGTACATAGTGCTGACTGACCTATAAAATATCATCATCGTCAAGTGTCTTACTGACTGGCACAGGCGATCTTGTTTCTCCACAATCTGCAATGTGCAACTGCGTAAATCAGTCGTATGTTAACACCCCTTCATGTCATGACAAAAGACTGTCAAGAATCTTCTCATATTTTCCAGAGATCTTTCCAGCGGTTATAACATGTACCAGTTTCTCTTTTCTCATAACATGACCAAACAGTTATGACTGTCTCCTTTTGATGTTTGTGATAAGTGGTCTTCGAGCCTTCACCTCTTTCTGAAAATCTGGGTTGCTCTTCTTGGCTGTCTAATCAATTCTTAGGATTCTTCTGTGAAAACTACACCATATAAAAACCAAAAAAGTATAAAATACAGGTCTAAAATTATATGCTATAATATATAGGTCTAACATTATATGCTATAATATATAGGAACATTATATGCTATAATATACAGGTCTAACATTATATGCTATAATATATAGGTCTAACATTATATGCTATAATATATAGGTCTAACATTTTATGCTATAATATATAGGTCTAACATTTTATGCTATAATATATAGGTCAAACACTTTATGCTATCATATACAGGTCTAACATTATATGCTATAATATACAGGTCTAACATTATATGCTATAATATATAGGTCTAACATTATATGCTATAATATATAAGTCTAACACTTTATGCTATCATATACAGGTCTAATATTATATGCTATAATATAAAGGTCTAACATTATATGCTATAAAATATAGGCCTAACATTATATGCTATAATATATAGGTCTAACATTATATGCTATAATATATAGGTCTAACATTTTATGCTATAATATATAGATCTAACATTATATGCTATAATATATAGGTCTAACATTTTATGCTATAATATACAGGTCTAACATTATATGCTATAATATATAGGTCTAACATTTTATGCTATAATATATAGGTCTAACACTTTATGCTATCATATACAGGTCTAACATTATATGCTATAATATACAGGTCTAACATTATATGCTATAATATATAGGTCTAACATTATATGCTATAATATATAAGTCTAACACTTTATGCTATCATATACAGGTCTAACATTATATGCTATAATATATAGGTCTTACATTATATGCTATAATATATAGGTCTAACATTATATGCTATAATATATAGGTCTAACATTATATGCTATAATATACAGGTCTAACATTATATGCTATAATATATAGGTCTAACATTATATGCTATAATATATAGGTCTTACATTATATGCTATAATATATAGGTCTAACATTATATGCTATAATATATAGGTCTAACATTATATGCTATAATATATAGGTCTAACATTATATGCTATAATATATAGGTCTAACATTATATGCTATAATATACAGGTCTAACATTATATGCTATAATATATAAGTCTAACATTATATGCTATAATATATAGGTCTAACATAATATGCTATAATATATAGGAACATTATATGCTATAATATATAAGTCTAACATTATATGCTATAATATATAGGTCTAACATTATATGCTATAATATATAGGTATAACATTATATGCTATAATATATAGGTATAACATTATATGCCTAATAAGCCAAAAGGCACGGAAAAAGGGTCCTTTACTTTTTACATTTTATATAACTACAAGACACAGTAAAACACCCAGCAACACACAATACTCCTGCAAGGGTTGTGTATTTAGTTCCTGTGGATGTAATATGCCCATGATTTTGTTGCTGTCAATGCTGCCTCATTTGAGCACCAGCTATGGCCTTCTGGGACCAAAAGAGTAGAACCACAAACATTGTTGCTAGAACTATAAAGCTTGTGCAGTGCTCTTCTGTGAAGAAAGTCCGGGTCCTAAGGGATCAAACCTGCTACTGTGAAATCAATCTTCTAAACTTTTTTTTTAATCTTCTTCTTTTTATTCAATTACTATGGTTTACTGTGGTCAGGTGGCTTGAGCGTTGCGATCAAGCTTTGTAATGCCCGTGTTCTGGGTTCGATCTTAGGTATGGGCCTTGCACCTGGCTTTGGTTTCGACAGTGGTATCGAGAAGCCAACCATCCAGAAAGCAATGGCAAACTACTGAATGTAAATTTGCCACGAAAAACCACAACAATAAAAAAAATGCTGGGGTTGGTTCTGCAATGTCCTATAAAGGATCCGCAACTAACTTTTTAAAACTGTGGTTAAAAATTGCACGTTCTAGTGCCTGTATTGAACATTTTGATGATACTGATAATGTTTACTGATAATTGATGTCCGAATTAAATGATGAATGAAAAGAGGGACTAGAACGGCAGAATGTTAGACGGGCCTGCGTGCCCAATTCTTAACCCTCTGAAAATAAAGTTTGTTTGTTTCTTCGTTTATGTTTGGCAGTAGACTCCAGAAAAAGGTTCTAGTTATTCATTCACTTACGGACTTAAGTCTTTTCTCCAGAACCTGAGATTTGTGTGCATATCCATTTAACAAGTCCGGCTTATTTGAATGCAGACTGTTGGTTCATCGTCTCTCCAAGAGATGCACCCCAGCTTTGAAGGACAAACCCCTGATTGTCACCTCCTTCGACATGCTTGTATGGGAAGTGGGTCTATTCTTTTTCCTTCCTATAATGGTGCTTCAAAACCCACAACGGAACTTTATTTTAATCAACATTATAGTATCATTATTATGCCTGCTTTCGTTGCCATACCCTAGGCATGGAGCCTTCAAACTCTGGAATAGCACACTCAGAGCTTCCCCAACCTTTAGGGTTTTCAGCACATTTAGGCAGAGGGTGGGCAGACAGGTTGCTCTGATGGTGTATAATCATTCTGAAAGAAAAAAAATGTAACAATATTAGTTTAATCATTATGAAAGAATATAAAAATACGTGCATAATCATTCTAAAAGACCATAATATGTGTTTAGGATTTCAGAAAGAATATAACAATATAGACATAATCATTATGAAAGAGTATACCAATTTAAGTATATTAACTGTGAAAGATTATGCCAGAGTCTGTGGCTTAGGCGTTGCAAACGTGCTTCGTAATGCTGAAGTACGGATTCAATCTCAGCTGCAGGCAATTTGGCGTTGGTTCTGACAGTGGTAGCAAGAGTCAATTGTTCAGAAAGCAGTGGCAAAAACTGAATGTAAATTTGCCTAAAAAAAACCACAACAGCCAAAAATGCTGGGGTTGGTTCTGCAGGATATGCAACTAACCTTTTTTTTAAGTATTTTAGACAAATATAATAAAACTAACCTGTCATTCTTAAGGAATGTTAGTTTAAGCATTTTTTAATTAAAACATGTCAGCAAGCATTATAAAACAAAATAACAATATAAGCATAATCATTCTGAAACCAAATTTAAAATATAGGTACAATCATTTTGAAAAAATAAAACAAGTCTTCCATTATTCTGAAAATACATAACAACTATGTGTGCATTCCAAAAGTATATCATATTTATTTAAGAGAAAATTTTTTAAGGCCAGTTGGCGTGTTGTGATTTACAGATAAGCTGTGATGACTGCGTCTTTTGGCGTAACACATTTCAGCAAACCTTCATTTGTTGCCTATTAAGACATGCTTGTTAAGTGGCAACATGTCTATCCCCCCCCCCCCCCCATCCCCGGAACCAAGAGAGTAAACATTTTAAAAAAGCATAACATAATGTGTATCACAACTTTTGTGTTATTATTTTAGAACTCTGTACTTCCCATTTTATTCTCAGCCACTTTAAACTAGGCCAGTCTTTCAGTGTGTGGGAAATTTCATTCTGTATCACTCTGAAGCAGCTTACATATTTTGCCGGTGTTTTGTAGCACCTCTACCCATACCCGTGTATGTTGTTTCACGCTATTCGAGGCTTTCTGCGATCGAGTGGACAGTACACCAGAAAAGAGCATCTATACTATATGACTAATTCTTTAGCACAATACAAAATTAAAGCCTAGAAAATAATAACAATTGTAGTTAATTAAATCTTTACTCACTGTGCGCCATGAATAACAAAACCAATGAAGAAAATTATGAAGATATGATGTGTGAACCAGAAAACCTCATAATATGATCGTCTGAAATAAACAAAAATAATAAATCCAACATTTAACAAATATTTAAAAAAAACACACTACAATCAAATAAAAGAAAATTATAAACTAACAATATTCAAATTTTCTTATAAAACCTAAATTAATTTGGAATATCTTAAAAACAAAAAACTGAATGAGTCTGAAAAGATACAAATGCAGAAATTCAACCCTTTATAAAACTGGTACATCAAGCTTTTGCTTTAAATACCTGAAATTCAATCTAATAATGTGCCTTCTAAAATATCTAGCACACTTTCATCATCACTATCAATGTAACACAAATTGTTTTTGTTGCACCAACAGAATAAACAGTACATTTAGTCCCACTACGCTGGCTCATTGTTGAAGCGCTTGGAAACAATCCCACTACGCTGACTCATTGTTGAAGCGCTTGGAAACAATCCCACTACGCTGACTCATTGTTGAAGCGCTTGGAAACAATCCCACTACGCTGACTCATTGTTGAAGCGCTTGGAAACAATCCCACTACGCTGACTCATTGTTGAAGCACTTGGAAACAATCCCACTACGCTGACTCATTGTTGAAGCACTTGGAAACAATCCCACTACGCTGACTCATTGTTGAAGCGCTTGGAAACAATCCCACTACGCTGACTCATTGTTGAAGCGCTTGGAAACAATCCCACTACGCTGACTCATTGTTGAAGCGCTTGGAAACAATCCCACTACGCTGACTCATTGTTGAAGCGCTTGGAAACAATCCCACTACGCTGACTCATTGTTGAAGCACTTGGAAACAATCCCACTACGCTGACTCATTGTTGAAGCACTTGGAAACAATCCCACTACGCTGACTCATTGTTGAAGCACTTGGAAACAAAGCCTTCCTGCACAGATACTTTTAATAACAATGGCTAAATTGCTATTTTTGGTTACTAGTATTCTTTCCAGGTCATCTATAACTGGAAAACAGGTCATAAGTTGATTTCCACATTTCTCAGGGACTGGCCACTGCAAAAAAGTCAGTTTTCCAACATTTACAGAGAAGGATACCCAACCAGAAGTGTCGGTTTTCAGCTTTACGGTACGAAAGAGTTTTTTTTTTTTATAAAGAAAACAGAAATTAAACAACATACTTAATGATCTCTGTGGACGAGGAAACCATCAGGACGAGGCACAATGTAATTATGATTCCAGTAATTCCAGCTACTGTTTTTACCACCTCTCTTGTGGGATCCTATTTCAGGTAATGGACAAAGAAAAAAATCACAAAATATAAATAATGGGCTTCATAAAACGACTGCAGGAATGGTTAATTTAAAACAGTGGCTCTCAACATTCCTAATGCTGCGACCCTTTAATACAGTTTTTCATGATGTGGCAACCTCCAACCATACCACTATTTTTTTTTGTAACTTCATAACTTCAATGAATATGTGTTTTGCGAGGGTCTTTGGCGACCCCTGTGAAAAGGTCATACGACCCAAAAAAAGGTTGTGACCCACAGTGCTTTCACTGTAGAATACTTTTCGTAATGTGAGCAGGTATTGATAGCCATAATCATCATCGCCATGGCTGTAGCCATAATCATCATCGCCATGGCTGTAGCCATAATCATCATCGCCATGGCTGTAGCCATAATCATCATCGCCATGGCTGTAGCCGTAATCATCATCGCCATGGCTGTAGCCATAATCATCATCGCCATGGCTGTAGCCATAATCATCATCGCCATGGCTGTAGCCGTAATCATCATCGCCATGGCTGTAGCCATAATCATCATCGCCATGGCTGTAGCCATAATCATCATCGCCATGGCTGTAGCCATAATCATCATCGCCATGGCTGTAGCCATAATCATCATCGCCATGGCTGTAGCCATAATCATCATCGCCATGGCTATAGCCATAATCATCATCGCCATGGCTGTAGCCATAATCATCATCGCCATGGCTGTAGCCATAATCATCATCGCCATGGCTGTAGCCATAATCATCATCGCCATGGCTGTAGCCATAATCATCATCGCCATGGCTGTAGCCATAATCATCATCGCCATGGCTGTAGCCATAATCATCATCGCCATGGCTGTAGCCATAATCATCATCGCCATGGCTGTAGCCATAATCATCATCGCCATGGCTGTAGCCATAATCATCATCGCCATGGCTGTGATTCCTATGTCTCTTCACAGAACAATGTAACACCTTCATCTGGAAAGACAGAAAGGTGCATACATTTCACAAACATGAACACACCATATACCAATATATCTGCTGGTTGCAGAGTTTCATTTAGGAGGGAAAAGAATACATCCCCGCCCGAAAACAAGTATGTCTTAATTGGTGACTTTCTGTTTTCATCTTCTTAGTATTCACTGGGCACTTTGGCTGTAGGCAAGGGTCAGAGATTGAAAAGGGGAAAATCGTGGATGGCTCAAGCAGAAGACCCGATAAGACAAGTATGATTGCTGGAGAACATTGGGTGAGAAGAGGAGTGGTTCAGAGTACCAGCAGAAAAGTCTGACCTGTGTAGGGTTATGATCACATTGGGCCGGGTGTGCAGAGAGTAGCCAGCGGGTGCTACAGATTTTGAAGTCCAACAGTTGATTCACGACAATTCATGCCCAGGTGGTCTGATTATCTATACAGACGGTTTGGTGTTGAGAGGTAAGAGAAGTGCCTGGGAGTTCATAGCAAAAGCCAACAGAAAATCTTTTGTGCAAGACAGCCTATGACACCACAACATCTAGCGTGAGAATGGAGGTGGAGGCGGTAAATGCAGCTCTCCGGTAGCTAGAGAACAAGATACATACACATGTCGTAATTGTAACAAATTCTGAAAGCATGCTGAAAAAGATAAAAACAGGGATGCTTCGAGCAGAGTGGCAAGCTTCATTGGAAAAGTCAAGGGTAGTAAACATACTCTGGATCTTTTCTCCAGGCTATGCTGGCGTGGTGAGTAATGAACAAGCAGACAGATTGGCTGGATCTGCACCACTGGGTGGTGAATTGATACATGACAAGGCAGATGTGGTCAAAACTCTTTGGGAACAAGCAACATAATCAGTAGAGAAAGAAGATTATTATGGCCTGGAGAGAATGAGGCACCTAGGTGTAACCAGAGGGTCTGGCTGGCTCACTACACTCAGAGGAAAGGCAAGACGGACGTATAACCAGATTCTGACCGGTACCATCAGTATTGGAACTCTGTGATGGCTGCTGAAGATGAGGACAGAGCATGCATGGGAATGCCCCAGAGGTCAATTCTTGACTCAACTCAATTCAACACCTCCCCCACCCCACAAGTGAAGCCCTGGAACTCACATGAGGAAAAATGCGCCTAATTAGGTGTGTTTCCTAATGTATTATTTTTCTGACACAGCTTTGGCCGCCGTGGTGCAGCCGTTTGACACTGGGCTACAGATCAGAAAGTCACATATTCTGGGCACTCAGGGAGCCAGACTATTTTCAAAAATGACAGTCATGGGAAGCCTGGCTCTCTAGCGTAGTTGGCTAAACCGGATTGCACGGAGACTGGGTGACGAACTCCTCGTGGTCCGGGTTCAATCCCGGGGGTAAGCAGAAAAGCCACATTTCTCCCAGATTTACGGTATTTACAATGGTATCAAGGCCGAAAGGTTGCGATATCCATAACACCGAGCCTAAGGGTTAACAACTCCTGGCTTCTGGATACTAAAACACAAACAGACAGTCATGGGAAATAAAGGTGGCTGATGTGATGCTGACTCATCACCCGAGTGCTGACTGGTCTATAAAATATAGGTATAGCCTTATTTGCTCAATCACATGAAGGTGTGGAAAAGGACCTTTTCCATTGTTTCATAAGTCACCTGTATGATAACTGGGCATATAAGGGACCAAATAACTAACTACATAGAAAAGAAAGAATTAAAACAAGAAAACAAGAAAACTAACACTCACTATAAATAAACACTGGGAGCAGAGACATCACAATGGCTGACACACTTGCCTGCTAGCTTGGTGGTCATACACCTCATGTCCTCTGAGCTGTGCATATGCCCCCAGAGACTGAGGTTCTGTTTAAACTTATCTTTCTAGCTGCCAATATGCCCCCAGAGACTGAGGTTCTGTTTAAACTTATCTTTCTAGCTGCCAATATGCCCACTGGAGACTGAGGTTCTGTTTAAACTTATCTTTCTGAGCTGTGCATATGCCCCCAGAGACTGAGGTTCTGTTTAAACTTATCTTTCTAGCTGCCAATATGCCCACTGGAGACTGAGGTTCTGTTTAAACTTATCTTTCTAGCTGCCAATATGCCCACTGGAGACTGAGGTTCTGTTTAAACTTATCTTTCTGAGCTGTGCATATGCCCCCAGAGACTGAGGTTCTGTTTAAACTTATCTTTCTAGCTGCCAATATGCCCACTGGAGACTGAGGTTCTGTTTAAACTTATCTTTCTGAGCTGTGCATATGCCCCCAGAGACTGAGGTTCTGTTTAAACTTATCTTTCTGAGCTGTGCATATGCCCCCAGAGACTGAGGTTCTGTTTAAACTTATCTTTCTAGCTGCCAATATGCCCCCAGAGACTGAGGTTCTGTTTAAACTTATCTTTCTAGCTGCCAATATGCCCCCAGAGACTGAGGTTCTGTTTAAACTTATCTTTCTAGCTGCCAATATGCCCCCAGAGACTGAGGTTCTGTTCAAACTAATCTTTCTAGCTGCCAATATGCCCCCCAGAGACTGAGGTTCTGTTTAAACTTATCTTTCTGAGCTATGCATATGTCCCCAGAGACTGAGGTTCTGTTTAAACTAATCTTTCTAGCTGCCAATATGCCCCCCTGCTAGGATGATGTACTAAATTTGCCCCAAGGCATGCAATGGAATCTTTCATTATAATTTTTAAATTTAAAAAAATGTAGAACTTACTGGATCTGCCACTCGGATTGGGTTGATCCATGTTCCATTTGGTGTAAGTGGGAGGCGACTGAGGTAGTTCACTAAATTCTCCTCTGTGACCCTCTTTGCTGCTGCCAAACGCTCAAAGTTAAAGCAATGGGCTCCCACATGGATGGCTGAACAAATAGCGAGGACAAATGGTAATCAATGACTAATATACCTTGGCTGCTGCGTAGTAAACCAGTGCAACATGGAGTGAGCTGCCAGTGCAATGGTTATAATGAAACAGAAGATGAAACTACTTATTTGCTCAGTCTGTTTCTGTATTTCTTCCTACCTTCCACCACCTACCCCACCCACTTACACACTTACACATTTAGAAGAACACATATTCTAGAGGGAGGCTTTTCACAAATGCAGTGAACATTCATGATGGATGAGCAGGCATTTCAAAGAACATCTATAAATAACTATCAGCAGTTACTACAATGTCAGGAGTCACTGTAGCACAGTGGCTAGACATTCGCCTAGCAGCCTGAAGGTCATGCATTCAAACCCACACCTGTGTGGATTTTTGATGACCTTTGCTTCCATATCAGCTCAGCCTAAAACTGGTAACAGAAAATTTCCTGGAAAGTAAAGGTGACTGGCATGACAACAATAACTGAGTGTCAACAGATCTATAAAACGAGTCTGATATTATATTATTTCACCAATGTAGCAACTATTTGAAAGAAAAAGGATCCTTTCCACGCCTTCAGGCGTATTGGGCATATAGGGCTAGACCTACATTTTACAGACCAACTGGCACCTGGTGGGTGATGTGGCCAACATCACGCAGGCTGCCTTTACTTCCCAAGACTCCACCTGTTACAGCCACAGCGTAGAAAGATCATTTCTAATACAATAAAACTGGCAGGTGATCCATGGACTACTTGCAAGGTCTCTGTGAGCTAGATGTGACCCACAAGCTTTCGCTTGAATCGCCCACATCTGAAGGTTTTCCCAGACTTCTATGATGTAGGCTTTTAAAATCCTTTAACCAAATAATCAGTCGATCAAACATAGCTAATCTGGTTTGATCTTCGATGAAGATGAATTATTTTCACAGCATATACAACTCTGGGGGATAAATCATGATTTCATTTATAATGAAGATTAAGGGGGATTAAATATTTTTTACACTGTCATTTTCAATCAAAGATAATAATGTCACCGTAACAATGGGTAGTGATATATTTATGCCTATGACTTGAACACCCAATACATTTAAGTACAAGTGAACAAAAAGAGTTCACTAGACAAAACCACCTCCAGTAGACAGAAATTGTTGGTGATTTGGGACTGAGAAACAGTCTCTCAAAATATTTGAAATTAAAACTGGTACCAAATTTTGGAGCAACTGGTATTGATCTGATATCAAAATTGGGTGAACACAAAATCTGACCAGCAGATCTGACACATTTCTTCTTTTGCTGCATTAACAATTTTAAAAGGTGGTTGGCATGCTGTGATGTAGTTTACAGCTAGGCTGTGGTATCTGTGCCTTTCGGCCCAATACATTCGATTACAGCAAACCTCTAATAGGTTGATTTTTATGGCATGCTTGGTGGAAAAAGGATAGGGGGCGGGGAAGGGGGGGGGCGGGGATGATTGGGGATGGGCTCTATGCTTTTTCTCTCTAAAATGAGGCCCTAAAATCCATTTGTGGAAATGAATTAACTGTTTTTTATAGGTGACTATTTTCAAATATAACTAATCTTTATTTTTTTTTTTTTAAATTTGGCAAAAATAATTAACAATCTCTTATCATATGTGTTTTTTTCTATAAAATCCTACCTGTTTGAAAGCAGATCATATATGCAAAATATCTATGGTATGTTATGTTCTTGTCCAGCTGACGGCGCAAGACTCGAGGACAACACTGAAATAAATATATGAGTAATTTACAAAACAGAGTTATATCCAATCCCTATGATGGACACCAGGTCACTTAGTAACCGCAGAGGTGCCCTAATGTAACTGTGTTATACAGCCAAACAGGGTTTTTTGGATTTGTTTGTATCTGATTTTCCTCTTCTGAGGTGTTAATCCTGCAGACATCAATCCTGGAGGGGTCCAATGACAACCTGCCAAAAGTTGCTAATTACTTCCTGTATTTACCACTTTTGCAATGTTGCCAGGGGGGATCGCTGAGCCTGAGGATTTAGGGATGCATAGCTAGTGCTGGCGCTATGAACTGCAGGTCAGGATTTGATTTTTGGCTCATCACAGAAAAAATCCAAAACCTTGTCAAGGATTCACACCTGAAGTTGAAAAGCAATACAGAACTGGAGAAGGAGAAAAAGAAGTAGCAAAAGAACATCATGCATTTCTGGTTCATCATTAGCTAATGCACATTTCTCAATTCCCGATGTCTTTATTCAGTTGTTACGCAACTCACTCAGTTTTAAGTGTTATTTTAACTTTTTCTACTCAATATCAGGAAGGGAATGAAAGTGAAGGAAGAAAAAATTATGCCAGACAAGATGAGAGCTGAGCGTCTGAAAAGAAACGGACTAAACACAAATGTTGACAATAATGGACCTGAAATCCCATGCTATCATTGTGGAAGACTTTTTTTGACACAGGAGGGTCTTGCTAGTCACATTTGCCATCGCCATGGGCTGTGAGTCCCATACCTCCTCATAGGGCAATATAACACTATCATCTGAACTCCCTTAGATACTGATGCTATTAGTATAAAGTAACATTCACTTTGTTTAGAACAAACTAAACACTCCTGAGTGCTGTGATGTCGATTCTTAATTCAACATTTAACTGTCTTGCATCTAGCTTCATAATCTGGCTTCTGTCTTGCTTTCTATAAACTATATCTTCTGTCGCCATTTTACCCCCTGGGGGTCACCTTGACATTTAACATGGCCATAACAACTTTCGGGAAATCATGCTGTTAATGAGCCAGTTCTCCTTGATTTTCAGATCATGTAGTCCCTGTGGGAGTTCCTGGACCCTTTTTGGGGGGGGAAAAACAAGACTAGACCCCCTCTCCCCAAAACAGCATATCATAAAAGTCGACTAATTGAGAGCTTCCTTCGAAGTCGGAGTGCATCTGCCCGAACCAGTAAGGAACAACCAACCAAATGCACACAAATAAGCCAGTAAAAACGATGTACACGCCCAGGTTCTTAGGCCCTGGCACAAAGCCAAAGTTTGAATAGGAGAACAAACAGGACTTTCCGCAGGAGCTTCATCCAAATACTATAGGTAATAACAGAGATATATAATTGCTTTGTTTTCATGTACTAAATGTTTAAATTGTCTTATTTTTTCCTCCAATTTTTAGGGCATAACAATTTTGTTAACCTTTCCCTCTTTTTTACAGTAATTCCCTATTAATCTTTGCAACCTAACACAGGACACTGAAAATTCATTGTTGATCCCAATAAACACAAGACACTGCACACAATCTTACCCCACAAGAGCCTCTAATGAAACTGATCAGCTTGCGGCAGACAGGAAACAGAATTAACATGACATTAAAATTCAGGCATGCTGCACTTGCTCGGGCCCAACACAGAGAATCCTACAATTACATCAAAAACACACTTTACTCAAAGCAAGAAAACAAAACAAATTATAGGTTTGTCATGTTTTATAACATTTAATCAGACAATTTTTCTGTGAGTGTATTTTTAGGGGTGCATTTGTCACTTTAATAAGAAAGAGACAAACCCTGTTCTTGGGCCACGTAAGGAGAAGAGAGACATTGGAGAACATCGTGACAACAAGAAAGATCAGTGAAAAAAAAAAAGGTGTTGAGGCAGACCAAGAGAGATAATGCTGAATAATGTGAAATGATGGCATGAAGTGATATAATCAAGAGAGCTGTTTCAGGTAACCAGGGATCAAGATCTGTGGAGATGCATGAGCGCTTATGCCAGTTGGCAAGGCACATGATGATGATAAATTGTCACTTTACAATACTTCAAAGGCATACTTGTGAATTCCTATTCCAAATATGTCAAAATAAAATATTACTTCTCATGCAACAACATAATTTTCATTTGTCAGTTCTAAAAAAAAATTTGTGATTTTCTCAAAATATAGATTTAGCACCTATATTACTTATATATACAACCAATGAAATATTTAGCATTTTTTTTTAAAAAGGTAACGTTAGTTGCATAATAGGATGTGAAGTGAGGCGTTTACAAGCTCAGGCCTTGAGTGCCTACCAATCCAGCAGTCATGGGTTCAAAACTCTGTGTGGCAGAATTTTTGTTTAAACTGACCTAGGGCAACCCAGATTGACTGAGCCTAAAAATTAGTACACTAGTGCCTTTACTTTTTTCACTGTTATGGATTTGTTTATTCATTTGCCAACAGATTGCAGCAAATGACTTGCTTCATCCTCTGGTTCTTTAGTCTTCACCATTGTGAGTGAGAAAAACGACTAAAGACATTATTTTTGGCGGTCAAAGGGCAATTAACATTCAGCAATTTTGGATCCATGTCCATTTACATATAATTAAACAATCTACCATGTATGTTTAAATCAGCAGGATATCACAACATGTTTTCATAACGCTAAATAACTATAATCTAATACAAGACATTACTCTAAAACTGAATAAGGTTAGTTGCGTAGCCTTTACAGGACGTTGCAGAACCAACCCCAGCAGCCCCTGGCTGTTGTGTGGTTTCTCTAGGCAAATTTATGTCCAGTAGTTTGCTATTGCTTTCTGGACGGTCGGCCCCCTGATACCACTGTTGAAACCAACGTAAGGCGCATGGCCTGCAGCTGGGATCGAACCCGGCACCCCGGCATTACGAAGCGTTCGCATCGACTTAGCCACAGAGCCGACTGCAGAACTGAATAGCCAGTTTATTTTAAATGATGTGTAATTAATTAGTTTATATTCCTCAGTAGTAAAATGGTCAAGCCTTAGGCCTCATACTCTGAAGGTCCTGGGTTTTTTTCACAGATGCAGTTTGGGTGTAATTATTAGGGAGATCTCTGGAGGTCATTGCTGGAGCTATAGAGCTCATGCTGGGAATTCTACAGAGAGAGACCAAGCCAAATGAGATCAAATCCACTGCAATAAATTTCAGCCTCTCAACTTTACCTTCAATTTTTTTAATGACTGCTATTGGGAAAGAGAATCTTATATGTCAGGGCTGTTCAACTAGCAGCCCATAGACCAGATTTGGCCCTCGGAGGCCCAGCAAGTGCCCAACTGATGAGAATCTTATATGTCAGGGCTGTTCAACTAGCAGCCCATGGACCAGATTAGGCCCTCGGAGGCCCAGCAAGTGCCCAACAGATCACTGCTAGTTGTGTTTTATAAATGATCCTTCTTTGCTGGGTGTCTGGCCAGTGATCATCGCAATTTTAGCTCCCGGATAAACTTAGCTGAAAAGCCCTGCTTTTTGTTATGATAAAAAGTTAGTTCCATATCTTTTACAGGACGTTGCAGAACCAATCCCAGCATTTTTGGCTGTTGTGGTTTTTCGAAGCAAATTTTCTCCAAAATCTGACTTGCAGTAAATAGTAGTACAAGACGATGCAGAACTAACCCCAGGACTTTCTAGCTGCTTGTTGTTTTTATAGGCAAATTTACATTTAGTAGTTTGCCATGGCTTCTTGATTGGCCCGCGCCACATAAGTAAAAGTAAAAGTAAAGGACCCTGTTTCTACACCTTTGGACTCAGACGTATTGGGCATACAGGACTAGACTATTTTATAGACCAACCGCCATTTGGTGGGTGATGCGGTCAACATCACGCGAGCTGCCTTTACTTCCCAGGACTTTACATGACACCCATTTATGGCTAGGGTTGACTCAGGAGCCAAGGTCATTATTGAAAAAAAGTCTGGCTTCATCAGGACCTGCACCTGTGATCTTCAGATCTGCAGATAGGCATCTTACTGCTGCTCCCTGGTAGCTCCCACATGAAGTTAATGATGTAATAAATATCAACTTGTGCTGAACTTACCCCAACAAGGACACGCAGATAGTAATATTCATCAGCATCCCTGTAGCTAACAAATGTCACAGCAAAGATAATGGTATTTAATATTAGCCAAGTCCCCTGAAACAGAAAAAAAAAAATGTACAATAAAATTGTATTTTTATTTCTGCTGTATTCTAACACTTCTAAACATGAAGAATAAAATATACAGACGAGCCTATGAAAGATTGTGTAGACTTTGGAGACTGAGCATTGAGAAAACTGTTGGGATACCTTCCTTCTCTTTCCTATACCTGAGTGTGATCCTGTTTTCTTACTTAATGCCAAATATTCTTCTTAGGCATCACAGATATTTAGCTGTTTCTCTAGGTTACAAATAAGTCGACCAGGTCTGGCTGCAGTAAAGAAGAGTGATGAGAACACAAGACTGAAAGACAAGGGTTTTTCTTTATATTGTGAGCTTCCAGTTTTCTCACACTCTCTTTGTTAACTCTTTGGAGATGACGCAGCCGATCTATCGGCACAACACAACGTAGCCAAAAATTATGGCTGGGCTGATCGTTCCCCTTAAATTACACAAGCCTTGAAATTGGCTGGCAGGTTTTCATAGAAGCCAATCAGATTGCTTCTTGCATTTCTTGAGAATGTGGGCTGAGCAATGACAGCTTTCAAGAAAGTTTGATGTGTTCTGTAATTTTACATCAAATTTTTTAAGTGTGTGTGTGTGTGTGAGGGGGGTGGGGGGGGGGGAAGTTAGGAGGTTGCCTGTGCCCAACAATGGCGGAAAAAAATGTTGCATCACAGCAACCAAAACATCGCAGAAAAAAGGAGTAGAATCATGTGCCAGAAGTGTCTCTATGGGCCTTAATTAACAAAACACAAGTGTTAGAACTTACTAGGGCTTCGTTCAACAAAGAAAAATTCACCCAAATTTGTCAGGTTAGTCATGTTTGTCCTCCCAAGTTGGGATAGCTGCTCCAAATCTAATGTCAAACGGCTGAGTTCTCTACAAAATAGGACCTTACGCCTAGTTTCTGATAGAAACTACGTTGAGAAAAATCTTTTATACAGACTTCTGCCATTTAGTAAACGTTTAATTTTTAATAAGGCCAAATTCATTCACAAAATTCTATCTAAAGATACTCCAGATTACATCGACCGATTGATTCAATCCTAAGAATAGCAAGCAACTAAGTTTATTAGATTTGCCTAAACCCAGAACTGATTTATTTAAAACAAGTTTAGCATATTCTGCTGCTCATTTATGGAACCATCTTCCACTCGATCTGAAAACTACAAAGAGTCCCACTCATTTAACCGCAAACTTTTTCATTTCATGATTACCAGTTATTATATGCCACCTTAAATGTAGTTAATAATCCACAATGCATTGCTAGTTTATAATTAATTACAGTGTGAATGATATGTATGTATGCGTATATGTGTGACATGCATGTGTGTGTAGGCATGTTTGTGTATGTATAATTATGTGTACATATTAGTGTATGTATGGGTAACTGTATAAGTTTGTGTGTACGTCTGTGTGTGGGCGTGTCTGTGTGTCAGTCTGCATGGTGTCCATGTCTGTATGAGTGTGTATGAGTGTGTGTATATGTATGTATGTGTGTATGTATGTTTGTGTGCGTGTTCGTATGTATGTGAATGTATGTATGTATTGGGTGCCTATGTGTGTATGTGTGTAAGTGAGTGAATGGGTTTGCGCGTGTATGTGGGTGAGTGTGTTCCCGCGCGAGCGTGCGCACATATTTTACCACCCATGCTTGTTTTTAACTTGATATTCATAATATGCATATTATTACATGTACATGCTTTATTGATGAGATACAACTGCTGTGTGAAAGATGGAAGTTTGGAAGGGCCGAATGTAAGACAGGACTGCGTGCCTAATTTGTAACCCTTTGAAAATAAAGTTTGTTCGTTCGTCCTCCTTTTCCCCCAAAAAAATTCTTGCATAAATTATGTAACTCAGAATAGGTAATTTGATTAAATATTGAGATTTCTGTTTGATTCATAAATATTTTGTTAGCTCATTCAATTTCCTATAGCTTTTTAAATATTAATTAAATGCTTCATTTTTTTTAACTATCTTCCGAATTACGGTCCCAAATTATCGAGGCCGAAAATATACCCTAACAGGGCCTCAGTTACATGTCAACTGCGGACTATAACGCCACTGCCGAACTGCGGACTTCCAGGGACTATACCGCCACCGATCAGAGTATCTCCCACGCGGCTACGTGTGGCATGGATTGGGGCTAAACTAGATGGCTGAGACTCACGAGCAAATAAAATAAAGGAAGCTGCAGGAGATGCAGTAGCTGCTGCTCATGAGTCCCAGCCATCTAGTTTAGCCCTAATCCACACCACACGTAGCGGCGTGGGAGATACTCTCCGCGGTGGCGGAAGTCACCTGAAGTCGCCTTAAGTGCGCAATTTAAGTCCGTCTGAGGCCCTGTTAGGGTATATTTTCGTCTTCGATAATTTGGGACCGTTATTCGGAAGGTAGCCATTTTTAAAAAAAATAATTCTGAATGTGTAAACTAAGATAATTCCTTTCTGAAGGCCCTGTCTTTTTGGAACTGAAACTCCAAAATGGCTCGTCTGCAGAGGGTTAACCTGCTCATTGTTGTTGCTGCCTTATATTTGTCGATATTTACTTCTTTGTCCACTGACAAAACTTAGAAAACCAGAACAGCTAGATCCAGATTTGAAATCACTTTCCAACTCAGCGCGATACCTCATTCAGAGATACCCTTTCATTTTTCAATATATAAGGAATAGAGGGGAAAATATTAAATTTAAATAAACCGACGTACGACAACAATCCACTTCGGAGCTTCGTTCGTGATCCAGTCAACCATGTTGACTGCATAGCCAGCAAATAGGTTATGTGAGGATTGTCACGACTGACAACTTAACGACTAGTAACAACTAAACTAGTCTATCTGCCACCAGATCCGCCTTCATTCTTCATTCTTGGTTGTTTCCTCAAACATAAACAAACCTCATATATATAGTTATCGGGAATTACCTCCCCGTTCTGGTTCCAGGGAAAAGCAGGGTTGCCAGATAAAAAAAAACTTCATTTTATGCCAAACCTTTTATCCAAAATAATCCAGAAAAATGCCAAATAAAATATAACATTGTACCCACTTTACATCAAAATCTCTAGATTGATCTCTTCACTGTCACCCTCACTAGAACCAATGGAAGATACAGCAAAAACCTTTTGAGGTATAAATTCTTTAAGCATTTTCTCAGATGGGATGAAGTCTTTGCAACTCTTTTATGATGGCATATTTTTTTGTTCCGAAAATCATCAATAAGGCCATCCTTTAGTGCAGGCGATTTAATATTTTTTTTTTATTAGGCATGAACATTTAGTTCTAGGCAACTGTATGTGCTCTAATGTACTCCCCCGACCATGCGCTCTCATGATTTCACTTAGATGATCAATTGTGCGTATTGCACAATGGCAGGTCATGCTTACAGCAAGTTGCAACTCTTCTGCTTTTAACTTTAACATTACTTGGCCTAGGAGTTATTGTTGTAATAAGCTGTGACTGGCTTTTTCACAGAGTTTTCATGATTTGATATGCTACTAATTCTTGGTGCAACAGTGCACTGACACCGTTTACAATATGCTGCCTCTGATCCGTCTAAAGATTTTTTGAACCGTGGGTGTGTTTTCTTCCAGTTACTTTAATACTTGCGATGTCATATTTTGCTTTCCAGATTTTTTGGATGACGTGGCCACTGGTAAAAGTAGTAAAGTCTGTCACAGATAGAACTAGATCTATATCCTCTCTATTTTCTGTCCCCAAGTAGTTTCTGAACAGTCTGAATCACTTGGTATCAGTGGTGGGTTTTGGTTTTATATCCTGCATTTATTATAGTAAATTAACACAAATTACAGAGAGCCTTGGTTTATCGAAGTCATGATCCGTTTAGGAAGACAACAAATACAATAATAAATGGCTCGAATCTCCATTAGTCCGTACCAGGACATCACAACAAAGTCTAACTGAAATAAAGATGTTAACTGTAGGTCTATATTGCTTTTAGTAAATCTGCGTGTTTCATACGAAGGAACCATGAAGAAAATGTGAGCACATCTTGTTAAGAAAAGCCAGGAAAAAAAACCAAATGTGCCAAAATATGCCAGTTCATTATCTTATGCCAGTATATTTTTAAATATGCCAAATTTGTGGAATCTGGCATCAAAACTGCCAAAATGGCAACCCTGGGGGAAAGTGTAAAAGAACACAGCGTGTAGTAGTAGTAGATTTTTACCCCACTAGGACATCACACAAGCGATAAACACCCGATGACACAAAGTTCCACAATGTGGATGAGGATCACACTGGCTTCAAAATAACGAAAAATGGGGACGGGGCGCTTTTGGGAATGCCCCGAGGGCTGTGATGTCGGTTCTTGAATCAAATCAACCAATCAATCGACGAATTATACTCATTGGACATCGGATAAGTCCATAAGCGCTCGGATTCCATCTCCAGTACATCCCTCAGCGTGTGGCGACTGATAACAAAAATTCTATGTGGGTCATCTATTCTTTTTTTTTTTTTTTGGCTACCTGTATAGTGTTCATCATGTTTGGCGACACCTCTTTTGACCTGAAGTTCGTGTAGACTTTCAAGTGTTGCAGATTCAACGTCGTCTCACGAATCATCTTTTTGTTCTGTCTCCTTGAGAACATTGAGAATATCGGCCCGTTCCATTGCTTGTCCTTACCTACCGTGGCCCTGCCAGCAAGCCAATCCGCTCGTTCATTCCCTTCTTACCCAGAGTTCCCGGCTCCAAAATCAAACTAATTCATATCAGATGAGAATTCCTCAGCGACTCCAACCATTTTCTTCAAATCCATTTTGATTCTATCTTCTTAAGCATGCTCACGTTAACACTTAGAATGCACGCATGGGAAAAATTTTGTGTCTCTAGTCACATAATTGCTTTTGTTACCGCCATCACCTCCATAGTCAGATGACTTGTAGTCGAGGCAAAAAACCCCTATCGTACTGTTATAACCCAGTCATCTACTTGCGAGATGCAATTTTTCGTTATTTGAAGCCCTACTCTTAAGGAAGATGAGAAATATTGACATTCTCTGCTCTATGTCAATTGCAGCCATAGTCTTAAGTGCCCTAAGTCCTTTTTGGCATCTTGTTACTACACTCTCCACGTGGTCCTTTAAGGACAGGCTCCTGTCAAATGTAATTCTTAGATACGTCAGTTTGCTCTCTCTGTTGATATTTCTACTATCGTGAGACTTGGGACATTAGCTAGAACGACCATGTTGTCTAGAGAACACCACAAAATAGACGCCTTTTCCGGGTGGACGACAGCCCTTATTTCTGTACACCACTCAGTCACTTTGTCTACTGTCGCTTGTAGCTCCCGAACTGTTTGTTCCCTCTCCTCCCCCTGCCTATATGCAAGTATATCATCCGCAAAAGTCAGTATCCTTCCTGGTGCTTCTAGGCTTGCAATCTTGCTCGTATACATGTTAAAGAGCACAGGCGAGATGGCGGATCCACGTGACAATCCTGGGGTCAAACTGCATGGTTCTGAGGTCCATGAACCCAGTCGGAGAGCAACACGACCTAAATACAGGACAGCTGCAATCCAATTCACCAGCCATGGACTGGCCTCCTTCTCCTTCAGTGCAGTCATCAAAATGTCGTATCTTATAAGCATCCTCGAGATCCAGTCCTACCGCCATAGTTTCCTGTCTGTTCTGGAACCCTTCATAGACGTCAAAAGCAAAAGTGGTCGCATTTGCCCAAGTGTCCTTTCCTGGCCTGTAGCTTCCCAGACCTCTTGGGAGAAGCTTCCCCTTTCCAAAAATTCTTGCAGCTTTACAGCAACTATCTTCTTCCCGACCTTCCCAAATGGGTTTAGAAATCAGGAATGAACATGGTAGGTGATCACTCCCATGGTCATTCAGGACAGTTCATTTAACATCTAAAACCGACGACTGGGAGACAAATGTCAAGTCAATAACTGTGTCTGCATCGCCAGACCTCATTGCCATTCTAGTCGGTCTCCCATCATTTTCTTCACTACTGTCCCATTCTCTGTTCCTCGCGTTGAAATCCCCACATATGAGTTTTGTAAGCTGATGATTCTAAAGCCACTGAGCTTTTATATGATCCTTAAAAAGTTTTGGTAGTGGGATTAGATAGCTGTGCACCCAGTCCTGCGGTACTGATGCTGTCTTAATGCTCTTGTTAAAACAGTCTGCCATCTCTGCCAGATCTACATCGCTCAAAGCCTTCATGTGGCCATACCTGACCCCATCAGGCCCTGGTGCATTGTCTTTTGTCTTTTTTCAAAATTTGTTTGATATCTTCTACTCGTATCGTGTCTTCATAATGCATATTCTTTAAGGTGCTAGCTAACTCCTCTCTACATCAATATGATCTGTCTGAGCTATAAACCCATGGAGAAAAGCCTCCCCTTTTTCATTGTCTGTTGTTATAGGCACACCATCGTCTCTACAAATTGTTTCCACTGTCATAGGCCGATCTTTTCTTTGCATCTGCCTTTGCAGTTTCCAGAATTTACCCAATGTTTTATCTCCTCCCATATCATTCACAAAAGTTTCCCACTTTGCTCTTTTGGCCTCTGCAGCACAGCGCTTGAAAACCTCCACCTTATCTTTTTTACATTCTCCGCCATCTCCCCTTCCTCTCGTGAGCTTGAGGGTGTCTGTCGTACTTTCTTTAGCTACTTCACTGCGGCTCTCTTTGCCTACCACGCATGTTCAACTTCAGGAGTCCACCGTGGAGGCTGTAGAAAATTAGTTCAGGCAGTTCTGTTGCATGCTCCCCGTCTGAGGCGTCCAAATAGGTTTTTGGTCCTACTTGTACCGAAAGGTCTTGCGTGCTCTCCTAGCCTTAACCTTACTGGGTTTAGAAATCCGGAATGAACATGGTAGGTGATCACTCCCATGGTCATTCAGGACAGTCCATTTAACATCTAAAACCGACGACTGGGAGACACATGTCAAGTCAATGACTGTGTCTGCATCGCCAGACCTCATTGCCATTCTAGTCGGCCTCCCATCATTTTCTCCACTACTGTCCCATTCTCTGTTCCTCGCGTTGAAATCCCCAAATATGAGTAACCTATTACCTGTAATTATGGTTCATATTGTAAATTTGATCCAAATTTAGTTTGTAGTTGACAATAAAAAAAAATAGTTAACTATTTGATGAACCCCTTCCTTATATGTAAAGAGTAGAAGAGACAGACCAAGAAATACCTGGACACCAAATAAACAGACCTCAAGCACGCAAAGATCAAATATTGTCTGCCAACAGCGTTCTGTCTAGTATAGGTTAGCTGCATATCCTTTACAGGACGTTGCAGAACCAACCTTAACAGCCCCTGGCTGTGTTGTGGGTTTTCAAGGCAAATTTACGTCCAGTAGTTTGTCATTGCCTCTGGACGGTCGGCTTTCTTGATACCACTGTCGAAACCAACGCAAGGCTCATGGCCCGCAATTGTGATCGAACCCAGCATCCCAGCGTTACGAAGCGTTCGCATCGACTTAGCCACAGAGCCGACTTCTGTCTCGTATACTGCCAGTTATTTCAGATATAATTGGTGTCCGTGGCTTAGGCGTTTGAGTCCGACTCGTAATTCCAAAATACCGCTATTGAAACCCACTACTGGCTGGGTGGATGAGTATCATGGTATGGGGCGTCGCAGGTCGACGTGCCTAGATAATGCGAACTATCATTTTCTCATATGTTGCTGGTAATACCGTTCTCTTGTTGAGTTAATTTCTTCCAAGACATTTTTATTTGGATTTTTATATATCGGTAGATTATTCTGT